CATCATAGCTCACAGCAACCTCAAACTCATGGGCACAAGTGATCCTCCTGCCTCAGCCTCCTGAGTAGCTGGAACTGCAGGGTCCCACCACAATGCCCAGCTAGTTTTTCTATTTTGAGTGGAGATAGAGTCTCACTCTTGCTCAGGCTTTGCCTGTGAATAACCCCTATCCTGGGCCCGGCACCCATAGCACAGTGGTTACTGCACCAGCCACATGCACCGTGGGTGGCAGATTCCAACCCAGCCTGGGCCTGCTAAACAATGATGACAACTGCAACAAAAATATGGCCGGGCGTTGTGGTGGGCGCCTGTAGTCCCAGATACTTGGGAGGCTGAGGCAAGAGAATTGCTTAAGCCCAAGAGTTTGAGGACTCTGTCTCAAAAAAAGAAGAAATGACCCTGTGATCCTGTCCTTTGACCTGTCACCTGCAGGAATACACAGAGTATGGGGGAGCTGAGGGAGGCAGAGGGTGGTGGCCACTCTGCCTCATGGGGGGGTGGGTGGAGAGTGATGGCATCACCAGGTCAGGCTCCTGAGGTGACTGAGAGGGGTGGCTACAGCAGCCCTAGCAGAAGTGACAGCACAGAGCAAGGCCTCAAGGTGAGAGGACCGGGTGTTCGCAGGAGCATGGGCGTGCCCCACGTGGAGCGTGCCAGAGGCGAGGCTGTCAGGGCAGGCTGGGGAGCTGACCTGGGGGCTTCCTGGAGGAGGCAGTGCCCCGCTGGAGAGAGCTGAGGCATGTTTGCACCCCCCTGCTCTGCCAGGACCCCTCCAAACGGCAGGCCGTCCTGGGCACGGCGTTCCTGACTCTCGCTGTGTTTGTGGCTCTCTACGTGCTGGTGTGTGCTGAGTGCCTCCTGCGGCGCTGGCTCAGTGCCTGGGCGCTGCTGGCCTGGGCCTGCCTGCTGGCCCTGGGCTATGTGCTGGTGCTCGACTCATGGATGAAGAAGGCCTGTGCGTGGGAGCAGGTAACAGGGTGGGGGACTCTGGCGTCCTGGGGGCCAGATGTCACGAGCCAGCTGTGTGCTCTGCAGCCCCTGCCTTACTGGGCCTGCCTGCAGTGGTGTATGGCCCTTCCTGCTCACACTTGCCGTGGCTCTCTAGCTTAGGATGGGCACTGGGCTGTTTTTGTCCCTTAATTCTCTGGACTCACAGTGCAGAGTGGGGAGAGGGTCCACCTGGATGTCTGGCTCTGGCATTTTGCTTGTTGGGTTGGAGATGACAGAGCTCCAGCTCACAGAGGCACCAGGGCACAATTGGGCTCCTGTGTCTGGCAGGGCTGGGGGGCAGGCCTGGGGCTCCCGAAGGGTAACAGGAACCTGACTGCTCTCGACTCTGCTCCCCTCTGAGTTGCTTCATTCTGGGCGCGCTGTCCCCATGCCCAGACAGAGAAGGCCATGACTGACGCTACTCAGTGCAGTTGACAGAGCCTGCCCTCAGTGAGCTGCAGTTCCCACCCGGCTGGATTGCTGGGCCTGGCTCTGGATGGCCATTGTCACCAAGTGGCATGCTCTGACCTGTGGCCTGGGTACTGTGGCCACTCCTGTGGCTTGGGTCAGGGGCACATGGCGAGTCACAAACAGCGCTAGCTGGGCCCAGCCCAGAAACGTGTATTGCCTGGTTCTTGGTCCCTTGCATGTCTATAGCTGTGTCCCCTCGTGCAGGGAGAGATGAGGGACTGACCTCAGGACCGAGGTACTGGGCAGGCTGGTTTGAGAACTGAGGGCTTAAGATTCAGGTTTCTGGGGGTTCCCCGGGAGATGAGAGGCTCTAGGAAGCCATCAGCTCGGTCTCGGGGTGTGGCCAGGCCCCCAGCTCACCAGCCCGTGTCCCCAGGTGCCCTTCTTCCTGTTCATCATCTTCGTGGCGTACACGCTCCTGCCCTTCAGCATGCGGGGAGCCATCGCCGTGGGGGCCATCTCCACCGCCTCCCACCTCCTGGTACTTGGCATTCTGATGGGGGCCTTCATGACACCCAGCATCCAGGTGGGACTGCAGGTGAGGGGCGGCATGGGGGCCTGGAGTGGGGTCTGGGCTAGGGCCTCTGGGGACGGGGATGCTGAGGGGCAGGTGAGGCCCATGTGGGTGAGTTGGACCCAGACGCCTCAGAGCCACATTGGCAGACGGACGGCCTCCAGGCTCAGCTTCCTTGGAGTCTGCTGAGAAGCTGGGCTCCCTGGGAGGGGTCCTTCCCCCCCAGCCTTTGCTTTGCTGGCCTAGGGCCCCCTGCCGCTCAGACCCTGCCTCCCAGGTCAGGTGCACTGTTGGGGGGTGGGGCTGCTCCAGGTTTCTCTGTCTCTCCTCAGCCCCTGCCCTGATGTCGGGCCGGGGAGTATTCCAGGACCCTGTGTCTTGTGTCTTTGTGTTGAGTGAGTGAACTTTTCGTTCATGATTAGTGGGGACTTAAAGATGCGTTTTCCTCCAGATGGGGCCTGGGTGTCCTCTCTGGTGTCCACTCCAGGGGTAAGGCTGGAGCTCTGGGCAGCTAACTGGACACTGTGTCTTCTGTGACTGCCCTTAGCATTTCCCTTGGGCCCTGAGCCCTATGAGGTGGCTGCTTCTGCCTCCCCGGAGGTGGCTGACTTCCTGGGTCTCTGGGGCCCCAATCCTTAGTGGCAGGTGCCTGGTGGGTGTAGAGAGGGGCCAAGAGGGGTGTGAGTCCCTGTCTGGGCTTCAGGAAGCATGCCAGTCTAAGCAGTCTGGGGGTGAGGGAACAGTGAGGGTGCCAGCACCAGTCTGCTGGTGCCCGGGGATGAGGCCAGCCGGAGAGCTGAGTCCCACTCTCGGCTGGACTGCAGCTGTTGGCCAATGCTGTCATCTTCCTGTGTGGAAACCTTACGGGCGCCTTCCACAAGCACCAGATGCAGGACGCCGCCAGGGACCTCTTCACCCACACCGTGAAATGCATCCAGACCCGCCGGAAGCTGCGCATTGAGAAGCGCCAGCAGGTGGGACTCTGCCTCCCCCTGAGCCCCAGCAGGCCCCTTTCCAGCAGGTGGGACACTGCCTCCCCCTGAGCCCCAGCAGCCCCTTTCTAGGCCCGCTCCTTGCCCTGCATGCACCATTCTCTGCCTCTCTCCCTCAGACACAGAGCCAGAGCAGCTATGTGTGGGACACACACCCAAATACCCTTGCAGAGACTCTGAGGCTCTGGCCCTATAGCCAGAACCCGATTACTCTGGACTCTGCTGTCCTCTGTGTCATGTCATTCCTGGGCATGGTGTCCCAAGGTGGGGGCAGAAAAGGCCGGAACAGGTGGCCCACCCATCTCAGCCACCCCAGCTGAAAAGAGGGAGTCCCTGTTAAAGCACCTTGAGCTCCTGGGGTTCTGCTGGGGACCTGGAGGGTAGGTGTCCAGCTGGGTTGGTAGCAGGTCGTGAGCCAGCAGAGATGGGACACTGAGGACGGGGAGCACAGAGGCTGTGCCTACGAGCTGATGACACCCTGCCTGCCACCACTGGTCTGTTCTCTCTGCCCAGGAGAATCTGCTGCTGTCTGTGCTGCCAGCCCACATCTCCATGGGCATGAAGCTGGCCATCATTGAGCGGCTCAAGGAGCACAGGGACCGCCGCTACATGCCTGACAACAACTTCCACAGCCTCTATGTCAAGCGGCATCAGAATGTCAGGTGGGCAGTAGCCCATGGGCTGGGCGCGTGTGTGGACCTACCACCCCTCTGACCCCAGTGGGCAACCTCCCTGCTTTTTCTGAAGGCTCAGAGCTCGGGCCACACAGAAATTGGGGAGAGGGAGCTCCAGGTTGATCCAGGCCCCCTGTGATCCTCAGTCTCCCCATTTCTTTCCTCCAAATTAGGATCTGATCAGGGTCTTAAATTAGAGAACTGCGATTGGTATTGGGCAAGGTCTGGTGGCCTCTGAAATTATAAAACTCTGTGAGCAAACATGGTTGTTGGGAAGGCCGGGAGGAAGGGTCCTTCCAGATGGTTTTCAGAGGGGTGCAAGACCTCCAAAGGGAGTTCTGTGGGCTCAGTGGCAGGGACCCTCCAGTTCTGACATGTGCCCTCGGTTGAGTCAAAGGGGCTGGCTGCACAGTCTTACTTGAATGCATTGACCTGAGTTAAATACAGATACGACACTGTAAGCTTCACATGTGGACATGGGTGTTTGAACTATCGTGTGTGGACGTGGGTGCTGTGAGCTGTCCTATGTGGACGTGGGTGCTGTGACCTGTCCTGTGTGGATGTGGGCACTGAGCTCTGTCTTGTGTGGATGTGGTCACCATGCGTTGTGTGCTGTTGTGTGTGGACGTGGGCGCCGTGAGCTGTCATGTGTGGACGTGGGCGCCGTGTGCTGTCGTGTGTGGACGTGGGCGCCGTGAGCTGTCGTGTGTGGACATGGGCACCGTGAGCTGTCCTGTGTGGACGTGGGTGCCGTGAGCTGTCCTGTGTAGACGTGGTCACTATGCGTTGTCGTGTGCTGTCGTGTGTGGACCTGGGTGCTGTGAACTGTCATATGTAGGTGTGGGCACTGTGAACTCCCTGGGCCTTCTGCTGGATGGGTTGTCACATTGTGTGCAGCTGGCCTGCTGCTTTTGTCTAGGCTTAGATGACCTGTGAGCCCACAGACTTTGGCATAAGGAGCTCGGTGCAAATTGCAGTCCTTGGCCTTTCAGCAAGTCTCAGGCTCCCCGAGCCTCAGTCTGCTTGTCTGGAAGAGAGGAGTCGTGTGAGGCCTGGCTGTAAAGCAGCGGGCATGGAGGTCGGCTTACGAGAGCAGAGTCACGTCTTACCTTGGGGTTTGCTTCTGAAGTCTGTGCTTATGGTGCACGCCCAGCTGCTGTGGGGCACGACTGAGCCGTCTGCAGTGGCGGGGACCTGGGGAGGGTCCTGAGGGCTCCTGCAGACTCTGGGCTCTGCTCCAGTTTGCTTCAGCATGCAGCCTCTGGACTTTAATTTGTCTTTATGGCCGGGAGGCTAAGGAATAGCAGCGGGCTCCCGGGCACTGGACAGTCCTGTGCTCCTGCTGCCCATCTTCCCGGGACCTGCCTCTGACACTGGCTCCGGCCCCGTCCCGCCTGCAGCATCCTCTACGCAGACATCGTGGGCTTCACACAGCTGGCCAGCGACTGCTCGCCCAAGGAACTGGTGGTGGTGCTGAATGAGCTCTTCGGCAAGTTTGACCAGATCGCCAAGGTGAGCCAGCTGGTCTGAGCTGGGAGGAGATAGACGACACCAGCCTGCACCACAGGGGTGTCATGTGCCCAGCATCCCCCTGGGATTGGGATAGGGAGGCTGTGGCTGAATTTTAACCATCAGACAGCTGATACTTTGAGCGACCCATGATAGAGGTGGGCCAAAGTGGTGGCCAAAGCAGCCGGCATCCTGCCCCCGCCAGCGTGTGAGGCTGCGGGGGACATGGGGAAGTGAGGGTAGACACTGGAGGAACACGTGAGGGCGCAGAGGGCTACCGGGAGGGGGCGTCACCCTCACCACGCAAGGCTGGCAGCCTTGGGCTCACCTGGGAGCTTGGGAGGACTGTGGCATGCCAGGTGGTACCAGGTAATTCACAGGCACATTGAAGTTTCAGAATGCCCAAAATAGACCTAAGGAGGAAAGGGAACAGTTCTGGATAGAACCTTGGAGTAGAAAGAGAGCTCTGAGTGTCCATGGGGTACATGTGGCTCAGTGTGCAGGGAACGGAGTGTGAGGCAAACAAGGTCGCAGGGCGGACATTCCAGGACGTGAGGACAAGGCCCTGTCCTGAGGATGCTGAGGAGCATGGAGGGGCTGAGCAGGGAGGGGCACGGGGCAAAGAGGGTTTTCATGAGTGCTTACGTGGTCCTGAGACCTGCTGCATTCCAGGCCCCAAGCTTGGGTGGGGCCTCGGGCCTCCCTCAGGTGACTTGCAAGGGTGCCAGGAGCTGGGACATCCCTTGCCCAGCCTCAGGTGGTCAGGGGGGCTTACTGATGGCGGCCGACTAGAGACTGAAGTGTGAGGTCTAAGGCCGTGGTGCTCTATCTTGGCTGTACGTTTGATCACATTGAAAGCTTAAATAAGACACCAAAACCATTGCCCATACCTGAGAGAGTTTTTTTTGTTTTGTTTTGTTTTTGAGACAGAATCTCACTCTTTGACCCTGGCTAGAATGCTGTGGCATCAGCCTAGTGCACAGCAACCTCAAACTCTGAGGCTCAGGCAGTCCTCCTGCCTCGGCCTCCCAAGTGGCTGGGACTACAGGCTCCCACCATAACTTCCAGTTTACTTTTTTTATTTTTAGTCTTGCTCTTGCTCAGGCCGATCTCGGACTCCTGACAGAGGTCCTCTTGCCTGAGACTCCCAGAGTCCTAGGATTACCGAGTGAGCCATGGCGCCCAGCTCCATTGGTTTTTTTCCCCTCCCATCTGAGTATTTATTTATTTATTTATTTATTGAGACAGAATCTTACTATGTCGTCCTCGGTAGAGTGCCATGGCGTCACAGCTCACAGCAACCTCAAACTCTTGGGCTTGAGCCAGTGGTTCTCAACCTTCCTGATGCCTCCTAATGCTGCGACCCTTTAATACAGTTCCTCATGTTGTGGTGACCCCCAACCATGAAATTATTTTTGTTGCTACTTCAGAACTGTAATTTTGCTACTGTTATGAATCGTAATGTAAATATCTGATGTGCAGGATGTATTTTTTTTTTTTAAATAGAGACAGAGTCCCACTTTATCGCCCATGGTAGTGCTGTGGCGTCACACAGCTCACAGCAACCTCCAACTCCTGGGCTTAGGTGATTCTCTTGCATCAGCCTCCCGAGTAGCTGGGACTATAGGTGCCTGGCCACAATGCCCAGCTATTTTTTTGTTGCAGTTTGGCTGGGGCTGGGTTTGAACCTGCTACCCTTGGTATATGGGGCTGGTGCCCTACCCACTGAGCCACAGGCACCGCCCGCAGGATATATTTTCACTGTTACAAAGGGGTCGCTACCCAGAGTTTAAGAACCGCTGGCTTAAGTGCCTTTTTCTTGCCTCAGCCTCCCGAGTAGCTGGGACTACAGGCACCCACCACAAGGCCCGGCTATTTTTTTGTTGCTGTTGTCATTGTTGTTTAGCTGGCCTGGGCTGGGTTTGAACCTGCCAGCCTTGGTGCATGTGGCCAGTGCTGTATAACCACTGTGCTACCGGTACTAACCCTCCCCCCACCATCTGAGTTTTTAAAAGCACCTCCCACTCCTAGGTGACCCTGTTTAGTGAATCAATGGCCTAGATCAGGGGAGTCCAACCTCTAGTCCAGGGGTCCTCAAACTTTTAAAACAGGGGACCAATTCACTGTCGGGCCGGACTGCGGGCCCCAGGACGAGTCAGCTGCTAAGCAGGACAGGCAGCGGCGGCAAAAACACCCAGCGGGCCGGATAAATGTCCTAGGTGGACCGCATGTGGCCCACAGGCCGTAGTTTGAGGACGCCTGCTCTAGTCCATGGACCCCATGCTGATTTTTCGAGGATTGTTTATGCTTAGCTGTGTTGTCTGATATCACAAAAAGCATGCATGGACTTTTTTTTCTAATAAACTTTCATTAGTGTTTGTGTATTTGATGTGTGGCCTAAGACGACTCTTATTCTTCCACTGTGCTGCAGAGAAAACAAAAACGGTCAGATACCCCTGGTCTAGATGGAACTTGGTAGGAGGCCATGTCCAGCCCCATGCTGGGAAGAATTTTTTATGATTGGAACTGCTCAATCCTGGGAGGGATTAGGTTGGACTTCTCACTGCAGGGAGTGAGCTCCCTGTCACAGGAAGTAACCAAATGTCTATAGGACACCACTGGCCACCGGTAACTCAGAGAGCGTGTCTATCCTGGAGCCTTCCTTAGAAGCTGCATAACTTCCAAACCAGCAGCTGGGAGCCCTGAGGGTGGGCCGTATGTGAGGCAGAGGGTCTGAGTCTCAGGATGCAGCTGTCCCTTCCCTACCATGAAGGCTGAGGATTGTCACTTGCCCACTTGAACATGGCTTTCCATCCCCACAGGCCTAGGAGGCATAGCCTTGTGCAGAAGGGGAAGAGATAGGGTGACCAGATGTCCGGCTTTTGAACAATTTGTCCCGTGTCCTGCGGCGTTTTAAAAAAGTCCCGATTTTTGGAAAGAATGCATGAACAGGCAGGAGAACAGTAAGGGAATATATAGTTTTCGGCTGCCATATTTCACCAGGATATGAGTTTTATATTAATTTTGTAATGTTAAACTGTAATAACAAATAATTGTTGAGAAGTGATTATCGAGAACTGCTTATCAAAGTTTGCATTGTT